ATAATGGGGTATGGGTTTGGATTTGGTGGATATGTTTTGTTTGGTTTTAACACTTTGCAATTAAAATTCTTTTAAGCATAGTAACTATGGTTCAATCTTCAAAATGCGTAGGGGGAGAGGGAACATTTAAAGGTGGGCTTAAACAGTATCTCCATCTCCTTGTCACCTTGTTAGCTGTATAAGCATTTATAGTTGCTGTATATTTGTGAATTATTCTAGTGGTAATAACCTACACATAGAGTTATAATGATATATTTACTTTTTTCTTAGAAAACCAATTAGTGGCAAACTATACACATTGTCTTATGTATTACTTTCCCCTTCCCCCATTTACTTTTATCTTGGATATAATTTATTATCAATCTCTTTAGAACTGTCTCCCTGAAACAGCTGTATGGTATCCCTTGATATAGATGCCTCCTTCTGTTCCTTCTTTTCTTCTGCTTTACCTTTTTCTCTTTCTGTCCTCTCAGTCTTCTGCCTTTCACTCTACTCTTGCCAATTCAAACAGCAGTATATTGCCACATTTAGAGAATGTTTAGTTGGAATTTATGCTTTAAAGTAGCAATTATTATGTTTTAGATATACATTTTTTTTTTGGGTCCGGTCGTGGGGCCTGAACTCTGGGCCTAGGCGCTGTCCCTCAGCCCTTCAGCTCAAGGCTAGCGCTCTACCACTTGAGCCACAGCGCCTCTTCCGGCTTTTTTCTTTTTTCTTATGTGGTGCTGAGGAATCTAACCCAGGACCTCAGGCATGCAAGGCAAGCGCTCTACCACTAAGCTACCTTCCCAGCCCCTGATTTACACTTTTTTTAACAAAAAGAAAATAATTTCCTTATGTAGGAACATGTGCTTTAAAGACTAAGTTTTCCAGAGGAAAAAAATTCGAGATGCTGGGCATTGGTGGCTAACTCCTGTAATTGTAGCAGCTCAGTAGGCTGAGGTCTGAAGATCGCGAAAAGCAAAAAAAAGCAGAAATGTCTCCATGGGACTCTCATCTCCAGTTAACCACTCAAAAAACTGAAATTGGGCCTGGGAAGGTGGCTCAATGGTAGAGTGTTTGCCTTGCATGCACGAGGCCCTGGGTTCAGTTCCGCAGCACCACATAAGTAGAAAAAGCTGGAAGTGGGACTATGGCTCAAGTGGTAGGGTGCTAGCCTTGAGCTGAAGAGCTGAGGGACAGTGCCCAGGGCCAGAGTTCAGGCCTCAGGACCGACCAAAAACAAAAACAGCAACAACAAAAAACCCTGAAGTTGTGGCTCAAGTGGTAGAGCCCTAGCTTTGTGCAAAAGAGCTCAGGGACAGGGCCCAGGCCCTGAGTTCAAGCCCCATGACTGAAAAAAAAAAAAAAAAAAAAAAGAGATTGTCATCTCATGAATAGAAACAAAGTGAACCTCTTGTAATATATTCCATGTTCACTAAATTTTTTAAGAATTAATAAATTGTAATTTTGATTTGCTTTAGTCCCAGTGATTGAACGTAGGGCCTTAGCAAATCTTAGTCAGCACATCCTCTACCATCACACTACATCCTCCAGACTAACCCATTACCCTAATTTTAAAAGTTTCTATTTGGGTTTGTGCTTTGACTATTTTGTACTATAATTCTGTCCATCAGTGCTACTTGTTAAGTGACTATAGAATTGTAGGATTATGTTTTAAAGTATTTTAAGGTATGATGTTTATTTTTCAGTTGCTGTTGTTTCAGTCAGTCAAGGTTGCATAGTGTTTAAAGATTAGAGAGAAATGAAATTATTATAATGCTGAGTGCATGCATTTAAGGATCTCTGAATCTTTTCATGTCATTTTTGCTGTGCTCTTTAGTAAATTATTTTTAATTTTCTTTGTATAACTTTTTTTTTTTTTTTTTGGATGGTACTGGGATAGAACAAGCACTCTATCACTATGCCACCAGTCCTTTTTGCTTTAGTTATTTTTGCCTGGGCTTGCCTTAAACTATGATCATTTCCAGTCTCTGCCTCCTGAGTAGCTGAGATTACAGGCATAGATACTGTACTCAGCTTATATAACTTTTTTTTTTTTTGTCGGTTGTGGTGCTTGAACTCTGGGCCTGAGCTCTGGCCCTCAGCTCTTCAACTCAAGGCTAGCGCTCTACCACTTTGCGCCTCAGTGGCACTTCCAGTTTCCTGGTGGTTTATTGGAGATAAGAGTGTCACAGACTTTCCTGCCCAGGCTGTCTTTGACCATGATCCTCAGATCTCAGCCTCCTGAGTAGCTAGGATTACAGGCGTGAGCCACCAGTGCCCGGTTTATATAACTTTTTAATATCCATTTTGTTGGACTTACCTGGTACTTGCTCATACTGTTTCTAAGTTTTTTTTTCTATTTTCTTACAGAGGAAATAGAAAAATTTCTTACTTGACAAAATTGCATTGGCCAGCGCTTCAAGCTCAATGTTGACTAAATGTTTGTGGGGACACGGATACTCTTATTTCATTCTAACTTTATTATCTCTGTTTCTAGGGTTTCTGTGTACATAGTGCTAGTGTTTGAGTAGAGAATTTTATCTTTAAGAATGTTGGCAAAATATTTCAAAATTTTAACAAAAGCTTAAACTGAAAGTATAATTAGAAGGATCATACAAAGAACTTTTTTTTTCTTGAACCATATGAGCTAGCTGCTAGCTAACTTGATAGTCTAGTGGCTTCTACCAAATACTTCAATGTTTATTTCTTATAAACAAGTACTCTCCATGTAACCACATATCACATCAAAGCCAGGAATTTAATGCTTTCTGATATTCAGACCCCATTCTTGTCCCCATAATGTCTTACAGATAAATGCAGTTCAGAATCATACATTGCACTGGCTTTTCTTGTCTGTAGTTTTCTTCAATCTGGAACAGTTTTCCTTAGCTTTCATGAACTAATAGTTTTGAAGATTATAAGAAAATTATGTGAAGTGATCCTTATTTTAAGATTACCTGCAATTTTCTTTTTCTTTTTTTTTTTTAACCTACTATTTTCTTATGATTGATTTTAGGTTATGTGTCTTTTGCAGGCTGTCTCAGAGGAACTCTGTGGTCATGAAGGAGTATAACAGATTTTCTATTCTTTTATGTTTGCCTTGGCCACATACTCATCTTTGTAATCATTCTCTTTTGCAGTTTTGAGCCATCTCTTTTGATTAAATATTTAACTAATCCAGTGCTTGGAGGATAGGGAAAGCAAATACACTGGGAAAATATAGAAATAGCCAATGTTTTGGAGACTGGGTCATAATGAAGACTTTCCAGTATTAGAGGCTGACTTTTAGAAATATACAGGAACAATGGTAGAGGCAAAATGCAGAGTTAATCAAAAAGTTTAGAGGACAAAATTGGTAATAAATGTTTTTATTCACTGATTAAATAATTGTATTGATTAGATAAATTAATTATTAGATGATTAGGTTATTACATTTTTCAGTTCTTGAATTTATTAAAGCCATTTTAAAGAAGAATGTATAAAATTCTGTTTCAGTGAATTGTCTGGGCAAATATGTTGGGCTATCATTTCCTTTCGTATTTACCTTTAAGTGTATGTATCATTGTTTTAGGTACAATAATTATCTCATTACAGAAAATACAATTTCAAAACACTTTATGATGTTTGAGGCAAGTCTGATGTCTTTTCTTCCATATATAAAATGTATAAAATTGAGTTGTTTTCAGTCTGCTCTTAATTATTTCAATAAGATAAATATTATTTTAATTAAAAGGCAAATTTTGAGGGAAGAAGTGAGCAATAGGAATATGGTGAAGGAGGTGAATTTGTTCAAAGTATTGTTTGCATGTTTGGAAAGATCACAATGAGACCCACTCATATTACAAATGTATGTGAATGTAAAGAAAGGTAAAATTTAAGAGCTCATTGAACTGAAGAAACATTACAATGTGTCTGTCTTGGAGGTTATAAGAGTGGCTTTTATGTTCATTGTAGTACCAAATGAATTTAACTGAGTTTTATTTTTTAGGGATCAGATAAGGTTGTCCTTAAATATCAAATTCTTGCGAATGTCAAATGGATAGCATTGTGGATATATAAATAACGTTGTTATCTGTCTTGGTTAATATAATAGAAATTATGAGTGTGGTAGTATGTGAGAATAGTGAAATTCATAGCTATCCTTCAGGGACCTTAAATAAATAGAGCTCCTACCTGGCTTTTCTAGGTATTTGAGTTACTTGGATGAATTAGTATTTCGTAGATCAATTTTTTAGTTGAAGATACTAAATGTATAAAGATCAAAGTTGTTTAAAGTTTTGTCTCATGTGAAAGTGCAGGGTTCAGTAATTCTTTGTGGAGTGGGAAGTAATGCACAAAAGACCATTCCTTTTAGTTTCCCTTTATCCAGTTTCTGTGAACTATATATATATATTTCCCTAAAGCAATGGTTGGGAGTGGGTGTTGTGAGACAAGGTGTAAGGTATTTAATATTTGTAGGGAAGCTAGTCGTGGTCCATGGAATAAATGCAATAAATATTCTACTGAAAATAATGTAAAGTTGCTCAAGATATGGAAGCCCTCATAAAATTTGTGTGTGTGTGTGTGTGTGTGTGTGTGTGTGTGTGTGTGTGTGTGTGTGTGTGGCAAAACTCTGAATTTAAAAGATTGTAAGAATTCTGATTTTACTTTCCTCCTTCACTCTATTAAAAGTTTTAAAGGCATAAAAGACATTTACTTGAACAAACTGCACTGTATGTCTTCTGTGTGTGTGGGGTGTGTGTGTGTGTGTGTGTGGCTGATTTATAGGTTCTAAGGGAATATAGACAATTAACATGCCTAGTCTGAAGTAAACTGTACATAGGTGCCCCCCTTTTTGTTTTCAGTCATTTTCTCTCTCTCAGTTAATGCTTTCTTGTATTCCTACAAACTTTGTGACTGCTATGCAGAGAAAATATTCTACTTGTTCTGTAATCCTAAGGCTCTTTTTCTTAACTGATTTTTTAAAAAAATGTATTTGCTCCAAACTGATTTTTTCCTTTCTCACCCATTCATAGGCTCAGATTGCTTTCCTTCAAGGAGAAAGAAAAGGTCAAGAAAATTTGAAGAAGGATCTTGTCAGGAGGATCAAAATGTTGGAATATGCTCTTAAACAAGAAAGGTAATTTATTAAAATAGAAAGTATTCTCATAAATTTCAGAATAATTTTTCTACCATTCCTAAAAGAAATCTATATTTTAATATTGAATAGATTAATATACTCTGGAATTCAAGAATATATGTAATAAACATTTTATTTATGATTATAAATGTTAATTTTATTTTAATAATAATGTTCAGTAAACTGATTTGATTTAAAACATTTTACCCACATTTTCCCGCCTCATCAATCCTGTCTTAAGAAACTTATTTCTGGGGCTGGGAAGGTGGTTCAGTGGTAGAGCGCTTGCCTTGCATGCATGAGGCCCTGGGTTCGATTCCTCAGCACCACACACACAAAAAGAAAAAAGCTGGAAGTGGCGCTGTGGCTCAAGTGGTAGAGCACTAGCCTTGAGCTGAAGAGTTGAGAGACAGCGCCCAGGCCCAGAGTTCAGGCCCCATGACCGGACCAAAAAAAAAGGAAACTTATTTCTGATCTTTTATTTTCTTTCTCTCCTTCCCTCCCTCCCTCCCTCCTTCCCTCCCTCCCTCCCTCCCTCCCTCCCTCTCTCTCTCTCTCTTTCTTTCTTAAACTCAGGGTATTAGGTACTATCCCTGAGCTTTTTGTTGTTCAAGGCTGGCATTCTACCACTAGAGCCACAGCTCTACTTCCAGCTTTTTGCTGGTTAATTGGAGATAAGAGTCTTACAGACTTCCTGCCCAGGCTGGCTTCAAACCTTAGATCTCAGCCTCCTAAGTAGCTTAGGATTACAGGTATGAGCCACTAGCACCAAACTATATCTGATTCTTGATAAGATTGAAATTCTTTTTAATTCTAAAGGAAATCTCTGTAACGCTTTTCCCTTCCCCTGTCATCTAATATTCAGTTTGATGTAGTTTCTTAGGAAAAATAGTCTGGCAGACTGCTGAGAATTTTTTTTGTCACTTTGTTGGCAGCTCTTCCTGTCTTTCCAGGTGTTAATGTCTTTCTGTCTTGCTACTGTCTAAGATACTCAGTTTGTATTACAGGTAAAGAAAATAGGGCATGAGTTGAGAGTTTCAGATATTATTATACTGTTTATTTACTTTAATAGTTGGTCTGTAGATTTTTATTTTTGTCAGCAATGTGAAGCAGTTCATTGTTTTCAATAACCTGAATCTTTTTGATAATTGACATTGGAATTCTTTCCTTTGCTACTTGTGTGTGTGTGCGTGCACGTGCATGTACGTGCGTGTGCGTGCGCGTGCGTGCGTGCGTGCGTGCGTGCGTGCGTGCGTGTGTGTGTGTGTGTGTGTGTGTGTGTGTGTGTGTGTGTATGTCTGTCTGTCTGTCTGTCATGGAGCTTGAACTCTGGGCCTGAATGCTGTTCCTCAGCTCTTTAGCTCAAGGCTAGCACTCTACCACTTGAGCCACTGTTCTACTTCCCATTTTCTGAGTGGTTCATTGGAGATAAGAGTCTCACTGACTTTCTTGCTCAGACTGGCTTTGCACCACATTCCTCTGATCTCATCCTCCTGAGTAGCTAGGATTACAGGCGTGAGCCAGTGGGGGCGGCTGCTTTGCTACCTTTTATCCTCTGCTGGTACTAGACCTTATTCAGCACTTGGATGTTGTCAGTTAGCTTTTTTGCTCAAAGCTAGCTTCTACTTCCAGCTTTTTGGTATTTAATTGGATGAGAGTCTCATGGTCAGAGCCACTGGGGCTGGGCTCATTATTTTTAGTAGAATATTTATTGCATTTATTCCATGGTCCAGGACTAGCCTGGACCATGATCTTCCTATTTAGGCTTCTCTTTGTAGCTGGGATGACAGGCACACACCATCACATCAAGTTTTCTATTGGCTGAGATGGGAGGGGATCTTGGGAACTTTATGACCAGGTTAGCCTTGAACTGTGATTAGATTTCTGCCTCCCAAATAACTTTGATTGTAGCTCTGAACCACTGTACTCCTCCCTTTCTTGCCTTTTGAAGTTGGCTGTTTGTGAAACTGCCATAAAACAACATTTATCACATATTTATGAATACTGAAAATAGCTTAAACTTCATTAGAACTTGTGTACATCTTCATAAAGGATCTTTAAATGACATCTGAAATTTTATCTCTGGCTAAAGAATAGATGTTTCCTCTCTTACTTTGAGAAGCTGATTTAAAGCCATATTGGGAAGATAGAAAAAAAAAGTCATTTTAAAAGCAGATGGCCTTGTATTATTTGAAATCTTAAGCTGTCCAAATTGGAGGCTTAACTCAGAGAGAGAGGGGGGGAGGAGAGAGAGAGAGAGAGAGAGAGAGAGAGAGAGAGAGAGAGAGAGAGAGAGAGCAAGCAATAACATTTCTAATAACTATTCATTGAACTGGTATTGTGTACCAGGCCCTGAGGCTTCAAACTAAGTATTCTGCAGTGGCAGAACTTTGGTGGAGCTATGGATGAGATCCTTCAGTATTGTCTAATTCTTAAGGCTGTGCTGTTTACCAGTTTATTTTGCTACCTTACAAAACAGGAGAACTGGAATATACAAATACCAAAGTAACCAGGGGTTATGTGTGTGGGTGAGTGTGCATATCCAGACTTGTAGATCACAGAAGTACAGTGAGTTAGGATAGGTGCTGTGGTAGTGGTATGTGCAGAGTATACAGTCCAAGTCAAAGTGAAGTGAGTAGATATTACCATCTTGGGGGTGATACAGAAAGGTAAACCAGCATTTTAACAAGTAGGTAGGTGCTTGCCATTCAGGCATGGTACAGAGGTAGAACAAAATAGTGTGGTGTTTCAGAGATTTGTCCTAAATTGTGTGTGGAGAGTTGAGAGTTGTGATTTCATGAACAAAAATTTTAGAGGAGGATGAATTAAGACAATGGAGAGTCTACCTAAGAAGTTTAAACTTATCAGTCATGATATGGAACATGGCAGTATTCAAACAAATTTTATTCCAGAATGATCCTAAACTAATGGAAAACTTGCAAGCACTTTTTATGCAGTCATCAACTATCGATTAAAAATTATGAACTGAATTAAAATATGAGTGAAAGTACATACTTGGGAATGTACAGTAGATTACAAGAGATATCATGGAAGGAGAAGAGACAACTAGCAGGCAAACAGTTCAGTGTATGTTTTCAAATTTTTTCTTCAGTATATATATATATATATATATATATATATATATAACAAAAAAAGGTATTTTTTATGTAACCACAGCATATTATCAAATTTAAGAAATTTGATGTTGATATAATTTTGCTATCTATATTCATATGATTCAATAATATCTTCATAGCATATTTTTCTTGGCCCAGGATTCAGTCTGTGTATATGCTATTCAGAATTCTTAAGCATAAAATTTTGTGAAATATATTTTAGAAAGAGCACCCTTTCTCAAAATGGGAGCTGTAGTGTAATGATGTGTTATATCAGGTGGGTAGGTTTTAATAATCTGCTGAAATAAGCATCTTCCTTAACTCATTTTAAGTAGAATCCATAAAATTTAGAGATAAATGAAAATGGTAGAGAAAGTAAGAGAGAAGAGTAATTCAGTAATGACTCCCTGGTTCCTGGCTTGAAAAGCTGTGTGGATTTTAAGTGAGAGTTTAAAAAATTATCAAATGGATTAAAATAAAAGGGTGAAAGTACATTCTTGGAATATACAGTAGATTATAAGAAGTATCATGAAAGGAGAAGAGACAACTAGTAAGAACACAAGAAATGGAAATGTTTGAGGAAAAGGCAGAAGAAGAAGAGCAAACAAAGTAACGGAAGGATAGAACAGTTTTGTAAATGAGCCAATAGGGGAAGGAGTTAAGACAATTGCTGATGCCAAATCTCCAAGTTAAGTTGTGTACTGGAAATAATTTGGATTTGCCAGTGGGCAGTTTGTTATCCTTGCCAGGGCAGTTTCTGCGAGGTAGCAGCAACAAAGGGCAAGTCACAGGGATGAAGGAATGACAATAGGAGACAGATACAGTTGCTTACTTTTTCAAGAAGTTTGACTCTGAAGAACAGACCATATTAAGAACTGGCTGCGTCTGGGGAAGATTTTTCTTCTTAAGTAATGGGAGACTCATGAAAAAGAGTCCCTGATTTTATATCTTTTTGGAGTTATAGAATGTTTTGATTTGGGATTACTCCTGATGCAGTGGCACTTTTAAAGTATGATAAATTAAAGATTTAAAAGGCATTGTGTGATTGTATGTGTGTGTGGGGAGTGGATCTTTCGTAGATTTTAGTTCTTTTTATTCCAAAATTATTTTTCCACGGCTTTAATGCTTGGAATTTAAAAGATGGACTCCTGCAACATTAAAGTGCTTTCATCCTGAAATTATTTTTCCAATGTATTAATGTCAGAAATTTAAAATTTTGTTTGGATTGAGAAATACTTTAACAATTAGTATGTTTGTCATTCTTGTTTAATCATCATGTATTTTCAATTCTAGCCATCATGTCATTTTACCCATACATACTTGAGTATAGATCACTAAGGATCATGTTATTGCATTGTTATATTTTAAGTAGTCCCCCCTTTAATATCCATTATTGAGTAAAAAAAATGAATCTTTAACATTACCAAAGGAATACTTCCTTGGCAATAGATTTATCAAATTATTTCCTAACATGCCAGCACACGGAGTCTTTGAAGAATGCACAGTGTATAATCTGAGATTTATTCAGAAATTTGTATCTGAGTAATTTCAGTACTGTATGAAATACTGTTCGGCTCTTGTCCCCATTTCTCTACAGTCACTGCCACTTCCCTTCTATCCACACCATGAAAGAACCCAGATGTTTTCCTTGCCCCCAATATCTCCGTATTCTACTTCATTGTTACACAGAATTCATTTTTAAAATGGAAATGTGATCATCATGTTATATCCCTGCATAAAAATACCTGAGTAATTTCAGAGTTATTCTTTTGTAAATTTTCTATTACTTTCTCTGAATTCCATTATTTGGGATATTAGTGTACTACTTGGCTGTGTTTTGAGCTGCTGTGTGCTTATTTTTTTACTTCTATGGTATTTGGATAGACTGATTCTCTCCATCAATCCATTTGTCCTACTAGAAAATGTCTGTTTTTTTTGAGCTTCAGCTAAAATCTTATGGGTTAACTTATTTTCAATAACTTTATTTGGCACTGCTTTTGACAGAATTAGATAATCCTTATCTACATTCCAATAACACTTTATATAACTTTTAGTTGTTATCATGGTGTGCTGTAGTTATTTGCATGCCTGTCTCTTAGGCATCCTTTTGCTTCTAATCTCCCCTGACTCCAAGTTGCAGGTTATTTCTAGTAGCCAACACACTACTTGGCATGATATAGGAATTCAATAATAAGTCTTTAAAATTAATGCTTATTTTTAGCATCAGCATTTAAAAGGTGGTTGTGCATGCTATGTTACATTCCTGGCACATTATTTACAGGTTTTGAAATAAAGCTGGAATGAGGTGTCTTTCATCTATATGATTATTACACATTTTTCATGTTACTATATCCAGTAAGGATCAGTTGGAGAGGTCTAGCTGTATTAAATGTGGAGTTGTTCATCATGAAATCTGCTTATTTATCTTGTAGTAAGAATGAGACAGATAAAGAATGATGAACTCAAGTATTAAAACAGTGGAAGCAATATGGAGAAAGTGTTTTGGTGTGTTCACTTCAAAAGGATTGTTATTAAGCTTGAAAAGAGTTCTATTAGTAATTATTATTTATTTTAACAAGTCAGTAAGACAATGGTTTAAGGGACCATAACTTGTCCTATGTTGGCCTAATTTTGTTAAAATTTGTTGGCCTTAATATTATTTTTATTTTGTAGAATTTTTTTCTTCCTTTTTAGAACAAGTTCTGTTGCATTTTGTTAAGACCACTAGAATGCACTATAAATTCAATATTTTGTTTTTGAAATATTTTTACTTTTATAAAAAATATAAGTAAATTTCTTAAAAATTTTATTTTCACTTTTACTTTGAAACCTTAAGTATAATCTGTGCCAAGGATTGTTGTATTCTAGTCACTCTTTTGTTTTCCAAGGGTATATAATTACTTTGTCTTATAGTAGATGAAACATTTCTGAAAAACCAGAGAATGACAATTATATTAAAATTTTTATTTACTTTCTGGTAAATGTAAGTCCACTTAATAATCAACATTATTAATCAACATTGTTAATCAGCATTAACATTATTATATTGAAATAGACTTGGAAAATTTTGTCTGGTGATAAAAATCTCTCTGCTCGCTTGCTCGCTTGCTCACTTGCTCGTTGCTCGCTTGCTCGTTGCTCGCTTGCTCGTTGCTCGCTTGCTCGTTGCTCGCTTGCTTGCTTGCTTGCTTCCTTCCTTCCTTCCTTCCCTGCTTCCTTCCTTCCTTCCTTCCTTCCTTCCTTCCTTCCTTCCTTCCTTCCTTCCTTCCTTCCTTCCTTCCCTCCCTCCCTCCCTCCCTCCCTCCCTCCCTCCCTCCCTCTCTCTTCCCTCCCTCCCTTTCTTCCCTCCCTCCCTTCCTCCCTCCCTCCCTCCCCCTTTCTCTCTCTTTCTCTCCTTTCTTTCTTTCTTTCTTTCTTTCTTTCTTTCTTTCTTTCTTTCTTTCTTTCTTTCTTTCTTTCTTTCTTTCTTTCTTTCTTTCTTTCTTTCTTTCTTTCTTTCTTTCTCCTCTTCCCCCTTCCTTCTTTCTCTTTTTTCTTATTTATTTTTCTCTTTCCTTCTTTCTTTGCAAAAAGTTCAATTCTGAGTCCAGATATGATGTTATACACATGTAATCCAAGCTACGTAGGAGGTGAGAGGCGGGAGATTTTGAGTTTAAGGCAAAGTTAGTGATAGCCCTATCTCAAAAACAAAACAGAAGAACTGAGTGGCTAGCTTAAATGGTAGATTACTTACCTGTACTTGTAGCCTTTGATTGAATCTACTACATTGAAGGAAAAACTCCCTCAATTTGTGAAAGATTAATCTTACCAACTTTATTTCACAGTCTAAACTTTTTTTACTGCCTTGAGATTAAATTCAACTTTCATCAAGAAAATTTGAACAAATAGCTAGAATGTTACATGGTTCATTTGTAATTCTAGAAAGAAGATTTATGGCTCTGAATGTTATTCTTTTGTCTTTTTATAGTAGCATTTGATGATATAGGAACAATAAATGTAGATGATGTTATATTAGTTTGGGCACCACAGAAGAATATGAGCCTTTGAAAGTTCTAGGAGTGTCTAGCCCACACTATTGCATACTTATAATGACTCCTATTACATATCTTAAAGTTCATTTAAATATGTTTTAAGATGGTTTATGTTCTCTCATTTCTTTGTTAGAGCCAAATACCACAAGTTGAAATATGGGACAGAATTGAATCAGGGAGATATGAAGCCTCCAAGCTATGATTCTGGTAAGCTAATTTTAAAGCAAGCTTAAATGATAAAAAGAAGTAAACATCAACTGTTTTGTAGAAATAATATTTATAATTTCTAGTTATTTGCATGCTAGTTACTCTTTCTGACCTGCTTATCATTTGGCACTAATTATTTACTATCACATAACATCTTTTTCCACCATCTTTCTTTTCCCTCCCATCCAACCCATTTTCTGCTTATGTTCTATACTTTGTAGAAAGTTCAACTTTCATGAAGTATCATAAACATAACTTCTGTGTGAGTTTTTCCAGTAGTAATGGGGACTTTGAAATATGTAGTACATAATATATGATGTCCTTAAAAGCCTGAGAAAGAGTAGTAACTGGGGACAACCAGTTTCCTTTCAAGGTACAGAGGAACTGACTAAGCTTAAGGAAAGTTGATTACTCAGTTCAGATTGTCTCGAACTTTTTTTAAGTTTTTAAAATTGTTACTATAAAGGTGGATTATGTAAGTCAGGTAATGGTACATTGCTTTTTTAGACAACATCATCCCTTCCTTTGCTTTCTCCCAGTTTTTCCCTCCCCTCACCATCCACAAGTTGTATAATTAATTTTCCACATAGTGTCTAGTGAGGACCACTGCTGCATTTGTTCACTCTTTGTCCCTCCAATTTTGTCCTGTCCGCCCCCCCCCCCCCAGCCGTTAGACTTTGTTATTCATGGGAAGTTCAGTAAACAGAACATGTTTAATTGTATCTTTTATTACTTTTTGTCTTCTATCGTTTTTTTAAACCACTAAAAATACAAAATGGTATTTGTAACAATTAGATACTAAGGATTACAGACATTAGTTAGTAGGTATAGGGAAAGGATGATAATAGTTATTAGTTAATACCATGTTTCAGATGGGTGACTTTTTTGGTACAATTTCTGATTAAATCCTCAATCAACTATCTGAGAGTATTAACAATCATTTATATTATTTATTGAAATGTCTACCAGCTAAAAGGATACAAAATAAACGCACAAAAATCAGTTGCCTTCCTATACACTGATAACGTACAGGAAGAGAGGGAAATAAAGGGAGCAACCCCATTCACAATAACCTCCCAAAAAATAAAATATTTAGGAATTAACCTAACCAAAGATGTAAAAGAACTATTTAATGAGAACTATAAAACAGTTAAAGAAAGAAATTGCAGAAGACACTAGGAAATGGAAAGACCTCCCATGCTCCTGGATAGGCCTACTTAATATAGTAAAGATGGTAATACTTCCAAAACTAATATACAAATTCAATGCAATTCCTATTAAAATCCCAATGACGTACATCACTGAAATACAGAAAACAGTCCAAAAATTTATATGGAACAACAAAAGACCTAGAATAGCCAAAACAATTCTAGGGGATAAAGACAATATGGGAGGGCTATCCATGCCGAACTTCAAACTCTACTACAGAGCTATAATAACAAAGACAGCATGGTACTGGCACAAAAACAGACCCGAAGACCAATGGAACAGAACAGAAGATCCAGATATAAATCCACAGGCCTACAGCCAGCTGATATTCGACAAAGGAGCCAAAGACATACAATGGAAGAAACACAGCCTCTTCAACCGCTGGTGCTGGGAAAACTGGGCAGCCACATGCAGAAAACTAAAAGTGGACCCCAGCCTATCACCATGCACCAACATCAACTCAAAATGGATCAAAGACCTTAACATTAAACCTGAATCTCTGAAACTACTGCAGGACAGAGTAGGAGAGACACTTGAACTAATAGGCACAGGAAGGAACTTCCTGAACAGAGTCCCAGGGTCACAACAAGTTGGAGAGAGACTCGACAAATGGGACTACCTTAAAATAAAAAGCTTCTGCACAGCTAAATCTATCGCAACTAAGCTAGAAAGACAACCAACTAATTGGGAAAAAATATTTACCAGCAATATATCAGACAAGGGTTTAACATCCTGTATATACAGGGAACTCAAGAAACTAATCCCTCCCAAACCTAACAAACCAATTACTAAATGGGCAAGGGAACTAAAGAGGGACTTCTCAAATGAAGAAATAAAAATGGCAAAGAAACACATGAGGAAATGTTCATCATCCCTGGTGGTGAAGGAAATGCAAATAAAGACAACCCTGAGATACCACCTCAACCCAGTCAGAATGTCCCACATCCACAAATCAGCCAACGACAAATGCTGGAGGGGATGTGGAGAAAGAGGAGCCCTATTACACTGCTGGTGGGAATGTACACTTATACAACCACTTTGGAAAGCAGTCTGGAGGGTCCTTAGAAAGCTAAAGATTGACCTCCCTTACGACCCAGTCATACCACTTCTAGGCATCTACCCTGAACAACAGGAACCAATATACAAGGACACGTGCACCTCCATGTTTATTGCAGCACTGTTCGCAATAGCTAGGATATAGAAACAACCTAGATGCCCCACCACAGATGAATGGATCCAAAAAATGTGGTATCTATACACAATGGAATATTATGCAGCCATTAGAAATGACAAAATAATGGCATTTGCAGGGAAATGGATGGAGCTAGAAGGAATCATGTTGAGCGAGGTAAGCCAAGAACGAAGAGACAAACGGTACATGGTCTCCCTGATAAGTGGATGCTAAATCCAAAATGTTAGGTGATACGACAAAACTAACAGGACTTAAGAAACAAAGAACTCCTGCTCATCTGGTTGAACCACTACTAAATATCCCCATGCTGCTGATCACAAATATGGTATATAACATGTGAACACTGTTATATATTACAGACTGTGGTAGACAATTTGCTCCAGGGAAGTTAGAATGAACTTGTGACTTTGAAATTAGGTAATCACTTAATCACAATCAAAAAAAAAAAAAGAACCTCGGGGAAGGGAGGGAGGGAGGGGATGGTAGGGGGAAAACAATGGAGGGGGTAACAATGTTCAAGAGGAAGTGTACTCATTACCTCACTCATGTAACTGTAACCCTCTGTATAGTATCTTTACAATAAAAAAAAAAAGAAAAAAAGAAATATCTACCAGCTAAAGGCTGTGTTAACTTTAATTCTTAAAAATGGTTACTTACAAAAATAATGTTTTCTTTTTTTGTTGGATGTGGGATCTGAACTCTGGGCCTTGTCACTGTCCCTCAGCTCTTCAGTTCAAGGCTAGCACTCTACCACTTGAGCCATAGTGCCACTTCTGCTCATGTGGTACTGAGGGATTGAACTGAGGGCCTCATGCATGCAAGGCAAGCACTCTACCACTGAGCCACCTTCCCAGCCCCTGTTTTCATTTTTTAAATGTGAATTTTAAACTCAGAGAAATGGGGAAACTTGCCCAAGATCACACAGCTATAAATGATAAGATATGGAGCTGAACACATATTTTTCCCATTTTACCACTCTCTTCAGTATTTAACGATAACATTCCAAAATGAATGCATTCTAAATACATTTCAAGTTTTATAATTAATAGTGTGATAATTATTATTGAATATCCATAGCAGAAAATCAAATTCTTGCTATTTAGAGCAATATCAGTTAGGCCCTGTGTAATTTTTTTCTTTTTTTTTTCTCTCTCCCCACCTTTGGAATATATCTGTTCTGGTTGTCTGAGATGCACTTAGATTTTAGAAATGGAATTTAAAAAAATTTAGGCTTGATCTGGTGTAGCTACTCATGCCAGTAATTCTACCTATTCAAAAGACAGAGATCAAGAGGATTGTGTTTGGAGGCCAAACTAGGAAAAAAGTTGGTGAGCCCTCTTCTCAGCCAATAAAAGCTGGTTATGATGGCATATACCTCATCCTTATTATCCAGGCAGTATAAATAGGAGGGTGGTGTTTTAGATCTCCCTGAGTATAAGTATGAGACCCTACCTGGAAAACAAATGAAGCAAAAAGCACTGGAGGTGTGGCTTAAATATTAGAATGCTCTTGCACAGGGCTCTGAGTTTAGACTCCAGTACTGCCAAAAAAGAAAAATAAACCTACACACTGCTTGCTTCTAATTAAAAACTTCTTCATTATCTTAGTTCAAATATAATTTAAAAACTTAATTTTCCTTTTTAGATATCCCCATAAGTTTGACTGTTTATGAATATAAGGCCTTGATGCAGTACACTTAAAATTATAAATAAGCTTATAAACTTATTTATAAGATTTTGAAATCTTTTTTTTTATATTGGTTGTGGGGCGTGAACTCTGGGCCTGAATACTGTCCCTCAGCTCTTCAGCTCAAGGCTAGCACTCTACCACTTGATTTACAGCACCACTTCTGGTTTTCTGGTGGTTTATTGGAGATAAGAGTTTCACAGACTTTTCTGCCCGGGCTGGCTTTGAACTGCGAGCCTCAGATCTCAGCCTCCTGAGTAGCTAGGATTACAGGCATGAGCCACAGGCGCCCGGCTAGACATTAATTTTCTTAGTACACAGTTCCTAGTTAGTACCTACTATCGTTCTATCTATTTTTTTCTGCCATTTATTCATCTTATATATATTAAATATATATATACTGCTTACCAAACCCAGCAGGAAATCAAGCAAATAAGACAATGCTTTGTTGAAACTTTACAGAAACTATAGACAGTTAAAGAATGATTATAATAAAATGTAAAATTTGTAATGAGGAAGTACTAGGTATTACTAAACATAGTATTAGGGAACTAATTCTAGTCCAAGTGGTCAGAGAATGCTAATTAGAGGGAGTGATGTTTAACTTTGACCTCTGAAGGAATTAGAAAGGGCAAGTAGACTATTTGTTGAATAAGGCAGACTGGGCCATGCAGAATACAGCTACTAAGCTTCTGGGTTTGGTACCTTTGGGAAATAGAAGACTAGATAGTAATGAGAGGGAAGGAAGGAGTGTTTCTGTGGAACTAGGGTTTGCCCATACCAAAAAAATATGTTATAAGGCCTTGAAAAATATGCTAAGGAGATGATACTTTGTTAAGAGGAGAAGGCATTACAAGTATCTCCATTAGAAGGTTGTGACAAGATTTGTTGTTACTATGACACTGTTGCAGAA